AAGAGAGAGAGAGTGCACACGCTTGGGGGGTTGTCGTGCAGAGAGGGAGACAGAATCCCAAGCAGGCTCCACACGGTCAGCGCTGAGCCCGACGCCGGGCTTGCTCCTACAAACCATGAAATCATGACCTGAGCCGAAATCAAGAGTCAGACGCTCAACCGACTGAGCCACCCAGGCGTCCCTTATCTATATTTTAATAGCCATGATAAAATAGTGTGATTTCCACACACTCAATATGATACCATCCGCACATGCCAGATAAAAGACAGGAAAGCTGTTGTATCAAAGGGCTTTTGCTAGATTTGGGCTTCCGGTTCACTAGTAGAAATAGAAGCTAAGATTGCTTTCAGAGAATAATTTCTTTCTTTTATTTCTTTTTGTTAGAAGGAGTCCTGTGATTACAGTCTCCACAAGCTTCGTCCAGGAGTAGCTAATGATACTCCCCTGTGTATATGGCAGGGGCCACAGATATCAGAGTAAATGAGGTAATCTGAGGTGGGACTTAGAAGTGCTCTACACTCCACTTGTGTATTGATTTCATATCCTTTTTATTTTTTATTAAAAATTTTTTTTAACATTTACTCATCTTTGAGAGACAGATAGAGACAGAGCATGAGTGGGGAAGGGGCAGAGAGAGGAAGACACAGAATCCGAAGCAGGCTCCAGGCTCCGAGCTGTCAGCACAGAGCCTGACGCGGGGCTTGAACTCACGAACGGTGAGATCATGACCTGAGCGGAAGTCAGACGCTCAACTGACTGAGCCACCCAGGCACCCCTTGATTTCATATCTTTATTCAGCTTTTGAAATATCTTAAATTATGTGCCTTTTGGGCCAGTCCATTTCTTTGTGAGTTACTGGAAACCACAGACCAGTTCCCCATTTCCTCACTTCTCTCAGTGACATTACCATCCCCTTAGGCATGCTAGACTGGAAAACTTTTTGTCATTTTTAGTTATTCTTGTCCTTCATTCTTCATACTTAGTAAGTAATTTGTTTGTCAGTTTTTGAAATGCCACTTATACCCATCTTGAACTGTCTGTTCTTATTGTGACAATCCTAGTGTATATAATACTTACAGTCATCTATCAGTCCATCCATCCATCCCTTGTAGGTTTCATAACCCTCCTGTTTTCAAAAAGATTTAAAAGTCTTAATAAAGTAGAACAATGTAAAACTGGATAATTAAGATTAAAAAGAGAACAGAGAGGGCCTGAATCAATTGTCCTTACCATTGGATGCATTATAATCAATGGAAAACTTATGAAAAATGGTGATACTCAGGAGATTTGCGCTTATATTGTCTAGAGCTCCCCAGGTGACTCTAACATGAAGCCGAGGTTCAGAACCTGGGGAATCTGACATGAAAGACTAGATATTACCAGCCACCTGATATGAGTCGATTACAACTTTGGCATCCTGGCTATGGCTGCAAAAGTAGAAAGGGATGTATGCTGTGTTCAACACCCCTCATTGTCTGACAAAACATTTTCCCCCATAGGGAAGCTCTAAAAATAATATATTGTGTATGCCCTAGTAATGCAATAATAGTTACCCTTTATTTTTTGGGTTTTTTTATTTAAAAAAATTTTTTTTAATGTTTATTTATTTTTGAGACAGAGAGAGACAGAGCATGAACGGGGGAGGGTCAGAGAGAGAGGGAGACACAGAATCTGAAGCAGGCTCCAGGCTCTGAGCTGTCAGCACAGAGCGCAACACGGGGCTCGAACTCACCGACCGTGAGATCATGACCTGAGCCGCAGTCGGACGCTTAACCGACTGAGCCACCCAGGCGCCCCAGTTACCCTTTATTTTTATAGTAATCTCTGTACCCAACGTGGGTTTCGAACTCACAACCCTGAGATCAAGAGCAGCAGGCTCTGCCGACTGAGCCAGCCAGGTGCCCCCGAGAGCTGCCCATTATTGAGTGCTTGCCAAGTGCTGAGCATTATGCCAATTAAAGGAATGAGCTGCTTTAAGTCTCACCACACATCTATGATGTGAGGGTATTATTAACATCATATTTCAGATAAGGAAACCGGGGTCTTGAGAAATTGAATACATTGCAGCTTTTGGACTTAGGCCGTCTAACTGTGTGACTCTGATTCTTAACCACTTTGCATACTGCCTCCCATGTGAATACACTGGGCAATCCCTCCAGTTAAAGTTTTGCAAAAGAGGGGCGCCTGGGTGGCGCAGTGGGTTAAGCGTCCGACTTCAGCCAGGTCACGATCTCGCGGTCCGTGAGTTCGAGCCCCGCGTCGGGCTCTGGGCTGATGGCTCAGAGCCTGGAGCCTGTTTCCGATTCTGTGTCTCCCTCTCTCTCTGCCCCTCCCCTGTTCATGCTCTGTCTCTCTCTGTCCCAAAAATAAATAAAACGTTGAAGAAAAAAAAAAAAATTAAAAAAAAAAAAAGTTTTGCAAAAGACAGAATGGTGCTCAAATGGAGATTCTTGGAAAATGAAGGCTGAAGGAAAATAACCTAACAGAAGGTGTTGACATACTATTTTGCTTTTGGAGGGACTTACTCCAGGGAAAGACACCGGGACTTTTCAAAGGGTGGGTTGGTATCATGTCTACTGGATCCTCTCACGTTTCCTCGCAGGGGCCTTGGCAAGGTCTGGCCGTCCCCACGAGGCGAGGGCACAGAGCAGCAGCACAGGGGCTGGAGCATGTGTGCAGGACATCCCGGGATGAGACCAGCCAGCCTTAAGTCTTTTGGAACGAGGCTGAGAAGCAGGAAATGGACGATGGGGTAAAAAGCCAACAAGGGCATCCTGCCTGAGCTGCTAGGCCTAGACAACGTGAGGAAGGTGGACTGGGCAAGAGGAAGTTCCCACGCCAAAGAGTATGTGGTTCCAGAGCTGAAGTCAAAAACGTGGGTGTGCCTTTGGCTCAGGAGTGGGAGGAAGGCGCAGAAATTTCAAAAAGCGTAAAAGGTCGGTGCTGGGTCACAGGAGACTCATGAATATTTTATCTTTAAAAATGTCCAAAGTGGACCTACTTGATGTTGCTGAGGAAAGTGAGAACTGTAGGCGTTACGGGACAGCCCGGAGTGGTCATTCTTGCATTACGGCATGGCGGACTAGAGATGGCTGGGGGACTGCCTTGAGTCCAGTTGGTCTCGCTCTGATCTGTGCACTCCAGAATCTTCTGAATAATGGGTCTTAAACACTCTTCGGCCCATCTCAGCTCAAGAGATGTAAAAGGCACTCCATGGTTGACCTCGCTGAAACTCCCACCCGGGCTTCATTTTCTCTGTCCACGTTGGCCTCTCCACCTCCGCATGGCTTCCTATCACATTAGTCAAGCTCCTGCCTTGCTCCCCAAGTAATCGTGGCTTGGATTAAATGTCTGTTCTATGTGCGTTAGTCTTGACTGCCCAATGTGATTGTACGCTCTCTGAGGGAAAGGATTTGTCTTTTAAAACTTCTCTTCTTGGGACCTCATGCTAAACATGTGGAAAACGGCCAAGGCCGGCCGCCCGACTCCAAACAGCACCTGCCAAGGTGAAGTAGTTAAAAAGGGGCTTGGAATTGAGATAATGATCATCCTGGAATCAGAAGTTATCTTCGTGTGGTTTTTTATAATGACAATGTTGATAATAAGGCCTCCTGATAACATGGTGTAGCACAGTTCAAAAGCTCCCAGTTTGAACGCCAGTTCCGTCACATATTGACTGTGTGACCCTGGGCAGGGCACTGAGAGCTACAGTTTCCTCCTTGTGAAAGAAAGGTGATCACGGGGACCTCAGAGTGGTCATGAGGATTAAGTCACACACCGAAAGGAAATGGTCTAGCACAGTAAATGGCTATAACAGGCATTCGATCCACTCAGTACAGAAAATTTAAAATCTCTATTGCTTTTTAAAAAGATGTTTCTTTATTTTGAGAGAGAGAGAGCATGCGCACATGAGTGGGGGAGGGGCAGGAAAGGGAGGGGAGAGAGAGGGAATCCCAAGCAGGCTCCTCAACGTCAGTACAGAGCCCGATGCAGGGCTCGATCCCACAAACCATGAGATCGTGACCCGAGCCAAAATCAAGAGTTGGACGCGTAACCGACTGAGCCACCCAGGTGCCCCTTTATCACTTTTTATTCTACTGGCTTCCTATTTTCTCCTTTCCTCAGACCAAAATGATAATTTTACCTTTCTTCAAAAGGTGTTTGAAATGAGGTATTTTCTGACAAGAAGAAGTTGGTAGCATATTAACAAAAGATTTTTCTTTCTTTTTTGATAATTATCTGGATCATAAAAACCAATAATAAAATGAAATTACCTTTAGGTTTAGGCTGGGAATCAGGAGGAGGAGGAAGGGGAGGCTGAGAGAGAGTCCTCAGATTGCTGGTAGAAACCTGACCCGCTGACCCTGTATTGAGCACCCATCAGGAGGTCTTGGTTAGCAAAGCCTCACTTAAAGGATTCCTGCCCCGGTTAGCAAGGACGCTCTAGAGTTGGGCTATGAGTTTCCATGGCAGAGCCGTAGCACTGGCTCTCCCACCCACTGGGCTTTGCTGAGGATGGTGTGGCCAAAAGAAGACCACCAGGAACGAGAGCATCAAGACTGAACTTTATTTCACCCAGCAACAGAACAGTAAAATGGCATTCTTCTCTGTAAATTGTATCCCATCTTCTTGTTCTTCCACGCAGGGCTGGTGATAGGGGTTGCTGGGGCTACTGGGCCAGGCGTGAAGGTTCTGCCCACTGGTCAAGAGACCTCACTCCCAGCTGCTGGCTCGGCCCCTGCCTCCCGAGGTCGGCCCATGTATTCGCAGGGCCTTAGATGCCTCTGTAAGTATAGTAAAACTCTGTTAATCTGCTATCATTCGGTAAAAGAAAGGTGAAGCCACCAGTTGACAAGACGAGACTTTTTCCTGACATCATCGGTTCTTTATTTAAAAGTACAGATGATATTTGAAATGAAATAAAAACTCGGAGGTTCAAATGCATCCAATGAATCGAAGTAGCAGGGACACATTCATCCACAGTAAGCACAGCCGTTTAAACCCCTATCTTGTCTCCCTAGGCAAAAGCATAGCAAGGCTTAGAAAATAAATGCCTCCTCGTGGTATAAGGCACTTGGAGACAATCACATTGATCATACTGTTCTCCTTTGCAAAAATCGGTACCTTCAATGTCACAGCAAAAAGATGATATGATCATAAAGGGAGGCCAGAAAGGAATTTCCTCATAAAATTTCTGAATGAAATTTGCATCACATCTTATGATATTCCCTTGTCAATGATTAAAAAAAGGTTTTCCTTGGCAAGCCTGCTTCTATATTACTTCTTCCGATTTCCATCCTTATCACTAAACTCAGAGCTGCTAAAAACTAAGGATTACTCGATGTGGTCTGGACAACAAATAAACAGGCAGAAAACTCCTATTTGAAAGCCTTGTTGCAAAGGCTCCTTAATGACTAAACGGAGATTATGGGCTTACAGGAAACACTGTCACCCAGAAAGAGAATTATCAGGACAGCTTTTTCATGTGGGAGTAATGTAACTAGCCCTTTTGGAAACAGAAAGTCAGTTCATCTACTTCCGCCCTATCCTCTCTTTGGCCACGCTGGCTTTCTTTCTTGTTGTCCCTCTTAATAACCTCTGGAGGTTTTATTATTTTTATTTTTTTCCCATTAAGAAATTCAGCATTCAGTCTCTTGACTTCCCTTATTTGCACTTGTGCTCAGGGATCAGATGCCACACTTTATTCAGAATGTCACGAATCTTTGTATGAAAATCGATGGCATGCATTTTAAGGTACACATTCGTCATCAGAAAAGCAAATTGCCACAGGCCGTAAGGCACATCAGTTTGTCCATTTTCTGTGCTAGTTAAGAAAACTTCTGAGGAAGTCCCAGAGAGGATTTAGGATTCTGCACACAGTTTTATGTCATCCAGAGATTGACGGTGTCCCCACTGGGAGTCTCACCCCTTCTTTCTAGGCTGTTCTGAAGCTTCATGGCTCTCAGTGCATTGTATCAAGATATTTAGACAGTGGAGGGAAGGAATGCTGACATGCTAAAGAAAGACTCATGGCTGCAGAAATTAATGCAAAGCATCAGAGAGATCAAAATCATGAAACTCTTTGATTTCCACAGTTGGATTCATTCCATTAACTGGCTTCCAGGGGCGTCCGGGACATTTGGGGGAGGTTTTTTCTGGAAAGTCAGGTATCAGGTTAAATGAAAGGCTATTTTTTTCTATCTGGATGTCAGGGATCCAATCATCATCACTCTCTGTGGGAGTTGGTGGTGTGTTAGACATCACAGCTGCAATGAGATCTGAGTCCTGAAAGTCAGGCAAGGTAACTGCTATACCTGGCTGGGCTAGGGGAGGGAGGGGTGTTGGCCCTTCTGTCTTCTCTTGTGTCTGTGCAGAAGAGGTAGTACTATCTTCAGAAGAACTTGCCAAATGCTCTATTCTCCAACCATTGTCCTTTTCATTGTCTTTTCTTTTATTTTTATATTTTCCATGGCCATGACCATGCTCATGGGTATGTCCATGGGCTAGGCCACGTCCCCTTTGATGTCCATGGCCAAGGCCATGTCTCCCTTGGTGTTCAAGATCATAGTCAAGTTCCTGTTGATGTCCATGACCAAGGCCATGTTGCTGTTGATGTCCATGGCCAAAGCCATGTTGCTTTTGATGTCCATGGGCAAAGCCATGTTGTTTTTGATGTCCATGGCCAAGGCCACGTCCCCTATTGTGCCTATGGCCTTGGTCATGCTCATGTTTATGGCCATGGCCAAAGCCATGTTTTATTTGCTTTCCATGACCCCAGCCATGCCCACGAGTGGGTCCTTGTTCTTTTCCTGAATCCTGCTCTTCATCTTGTACAGATGCCATGGAAGTGTGGGGTGGACTTACAGTTGTTCCTTCTTTTGTTTTCTCCACTTGTACTGATCGGAAAGGTGAAAAACCTGGAGGCCTTTTCATCAATGTGGTCTAAACAGGAAATATTAAGATGAATGCATTACTGCGAAAACCATACTATCAATGAAGACAGAAGGGACTGAATCTTGGCAATGCTATCTTGGTTTACAATGGGGCAAGTCTACCAGACTTTAAACACTATATTAATATTGAAAAGAGGTTGAAATGAATATTTTTTCCTCTTTTGATTGATTTTATAATTTGTGGGTATTGTTCTTAATAATCTAAGCTGGAGAGTTTTTTCTTCATCTGGAAAAGTTGGGTGGTTGAACTACATGATCTCTAGCGTACCTTCTAAGTCTATGATTATATAAGCCACAACACATTATTTATTCATCAATACTGTTTCTTTCAGCACAATTACTGTCTTTATCCTAAAAGGTCCTATGTGGGCTTGTATGAGCTGAATATCTAGGGAGCGTATATCCACAATTACTTTGTTGGACTGAAACACATTAGGACATGTTCACAAGCTTGAAATGCAGTCTTTGTATAATGTTTGTGTTAGGCTATATACGTACATACACATGGCAAAAACCTAAGTCAGAAAAAAAGTGAGAAGAGGCCGAATGCATTGAAGATACGGACTTGGGGGTTATTTCTACCTACAATTTCACTACCTGTGAGAATGTGATGGTTGGAGGCAATGTCTGGCGGTGCAAAGAGCATGGTTTTGGGCATCACACCAGTCAGACCCTACTAGTTATCAGCGTGACAGTGAATAGGGTGGGTTCTTATTTGATCTAGATTTGAATCCAAGCATCGCTGGCTTCACTTCTCCCATCTGTAAATAGGATGATAATAGCACTTGCCTCATAGAGGTGTCAGGAGGAAAATATGTGTGAAGCTCTCACTACAGAGCCTGGGACAGAGATGCACTTGATACTGTTATTATTCACCCTAGGACCTCAGCATCTTTGTAATATTTAGTATCATAACCTTGACATGGGGAAAGTCTCACTTACCTCCCAGGGATCTTCTACAAATTAAAAAAACGATGCAAACCAGTGCTTCCCAAACTTGAACATGGGTATGAATCCTACAGCGATCACGTTAAATGCAGATTTTGAGTCAGTAGATGTGGAGTGGGGCTGAGATCTGCATTTCTCCAGAGCTCCTTGGACATTAGCAGTGGGCACTGGAGAGCTGTGCCTCGTCTCAGGCACGCCTCGAAGGTACACAGCTTGTGTCAACTCTCCCAGCAGGGTGTGCACTTTGCCAAGAGAGTACGCACTGACAATGGGATGCTGACAATGCATGACAAGTAGTTAAGAGGGCTGCTGCTCTCATTTCTAGCCATAAAGAGATCAGCACAGAAATGTGAGAGTTCTCCCCATTTTAAGAAGATAGTCTCCCAATTCACTTAAATAATGGTTTATTTCCAACCCCCAAATAGGACTTCAGAATGAGCAACATTGACCCAAGCTGACTGTAACGAGAATCATACCTCTCCCCGTGATTGACAGTGGACAGTAGGGTAAATTTTCTTCTCCCAAGGTATCACATAAACTTCAGCTTTACAGTCTAGAATTTTCTATCCATGAAAACAGAAGTCAAAAGAGAGAACAGTGTTATTCATGAGATGCTTAAACAAGTATAACACATCAAAAAGGTTTCCAAGGAACAAGTATACAGTTGTGTTCCTACTCACTCCAAATTTATTGGTATTGCAACTTTCTGTCAACTCTTCATTACTTTCCTTGGAGCACGTGGTTTCCCTGGCTGTGAACTCAATAGAAAATTTCTTTCCAGCCACCACCTGGAAGATTAGCACAAAGGAGGAGCCTGATTAATATTGTATAATAAATCATATGTTTTTACCCTAAGGACTTTTAGGGAAGAATATTGCCATTTGAATGATATACTGACCAAATGAGAGTTACACAGAAAAGTACACATTTGACAACAAAACTTTCAATCTGTATGCATGTGAAAAGTATTTGGCTAATGGCTAGTCTCATTTCCTTTTCTAATGGGGGGTGGAAGCAAACTGTAATTTCTATTTTTATATTTTTCTGAGCTTTATTGTTCAACCGCTGCAAAATTCATGAATGACTCAAGGGTGCAAGTTGTAATGGAATCTAAGAAAAGTAGGAAGAAAAACTTAAACATTTTCTTTGAAAATACTGAGAAATACTGAGTTAGTACCACCATAGAAATTATGGAATTAGAAAAATTATTTGCATTTTTGAGCTTCCTTCTCTTTCTTTTTGATATTAAGAATTTGGGGTTTTGTTTGTTTATTTATTTATGTTGAGAGAGAGGCAGTGAGAGGGAGAGAGAGAATCCCAAGCAGGCTCCATGCTGTCAGTGTTGAGCCCAATGCAGGGCTTGAACCCACGAACCATGAGATCATGACCTGACCCAAAACCAAGAGACAGATGTTCAACCGCCTGAGGCCACCCAGGCACCCCCAAGAATTTGTTTTAATCTCTATCAACAGCATTAGTCATTACACAATGCTGTCTTCCATTAAGCAATTTATGGCCCAAATTTTTTTTCAGTCTAGGAGAGGCACAATTTATTTACAAAATAAAATCATGTTTTTAAACCACTCTGACTTTAACCAAGTCCCAAGTGTGGCTTTTTAAGTCATTTTAAAATGTCATATCCTATACTTATTCTATCCTTGAAAAATACACGGCATAAAAATGTTTTTATTAGGTATTGAAAAGTTGGTGTGGTTTCTAGACCAAGGTATTTGGTATTTAATTCTAGTATTTAAGTGTGTGTGTGTGTGTGTGTGTGTGTGTGTGTGAGAGAGAGAGAGAGAGAGAGAGAGAGAGAGATTATGTAGCCATCAAGAGAATACATCATGCATATCTGTTGACCTGGAGGGATGACCCTTAGTGAAAAAAATGAAGTTATGGACTGATAGTACAATCCAATTTTTATAAAAGCAAACATCAACAGCTTCCCTGTCTCCTTATACTTTGTGAAAACATGGGGAAAGCATGATGGGAGGCAGGTGAGGAAAGCAGAATTGTAGGAAGAACTAAAGTTCCTCCTCCCTCTTTCCTGCCATGGTCTTGCTGGGTAAGCATGGTTAAAATCTTAAGACGAATATAATATTTAACTTCTAAAACTCCAAGTGTATGTGTAAGTGGTGAGGAAGGTTCTAAGAGAGTGTTAGAGTCTATGCTTTGGTGGTCATTAATTTTCTTGCTCATTTCAGAGTATACTTTGATCCAATTTTTTGGCCTTAGGGTTGATCAATGTGATGTTGCCTTAGAAAGTTGCAAACCACAGTTGTAGACCCAACTTTATTCAGGGTCCAGAGGGAGGACCTTCTGTTTGAGGGCCTCAAGGTCACATCCATATTGCCATCATCATCAAGTATCATTCTTATCAGAAGTCTTCCTGCTTAAATCCATCCTGCCCAAGTTTTGCTCTTAAAGTGGAGAACACTATATAGCAATATAAGTTCCATATGCATTTTAAAAATTAAATTAACAAGCTAGAAAGATATAAGTAAATATTCATCAGATCTCAGGATGAGGAAGGTCTTTCCTAGGTGAAAAGCAGAGGAAGGAAACCTAAAGGAAGGAAAAAACTGTCTAAATTTGACTATACAGAAATGAAAACTGATTCTCAAAAATCACCGTAAGCAAAGTAGCAAGGCAAACTGGGAAAAATATGATGTAGGATCAATATAAAGCCCAGCGCCAAAACCAATGTGCAAAGGACGTGAATAGATATTTCAGAAAAGAAGTTAAAATGGTCATTTGTTCTGGAAAAAAGCATTTACTTCATTAGTAACCAAGGATATGCACCTTAAAAAAGCAATGCAATATCGTTTTTAACCTCCCATGTTGGCAAAGATGAAAACCAGCGATGATGCCTGGTGTTGGCCAGGTGTGGGGAACATGCAGCCTCGATGACTGCTGGTAGGAGTAGAATTCAAGACCATTAATCAGTGTCTAAATACCCAGTTGACGCGAATGTAAATTGGCATAACTGCCAATGTTTTTGTAATTTGGCAATTTGCATCGTCTTAGACGTATACGTATCCCTTGACATTTCTAGGACTTTGTCAAAGGAGAAGTTCCTTAATGTGCACACACAGATCCTTGACGTATATTCGTTTGAGCAGAGGCAGGGAGGAACACTGATGGCAGCGGCAGCAGGGGTGAGGCAGGAACAAACAGCACGTGACAGAAACCACAGCCATTCACGTGTGAAAAATAGAGGATTAAGAAGTTCTCGGTTTCTGAAATATGACACCAGCTTGAAATGGACATGCATTCAAACAGGACTAAACATGCAAAGCCAAGGCAAGACTAAAACCGTAAAATAAATCTCTAGCAACTTGGCAGGTTGGTCATTTGGAGGTTGGCTCTTAGCAACGTCATCTTAACGATAAACTGGGTTTTAGTAAATTGGCTGCTTCCATCAAGGCTGTGCCTCGAAGATCTACGAGCAAATTCTTCTCTTTCAAGGCAAACAGCAACAAAGATTAATTTCTTACAAGTAAGTTTGAAATTTTCACAACATTCCCGATTGATCTGGCAAAAGAAGGGATGTGGGATCCCTTCGATTCACAGCATTACCTGGTGGTGTTCCCTGGCATCCTTGCATACATCTCGTGCATACACGCTAGAACGTTGATGTGCTAATTTACAGAGAGAATTGTAACAACTAAGACGGCTATATATTCGCGCTTGGGAATTAGTGGTTTTCTCCCTGACAGCAGACCTCTGGCATGTAATAAAGGGCAGAGGACGGTGCTACTACGGCAACATTACGAATAAGGGACATTCACAGGGAAGCAGAGATGCAAATTGCAAAGGAAAGGTGACAAACAGGAGTAGCACAGATTGATATCTTCCCCAAGTGAATCTGGTGTGGGTCACGTGCCAGTGAGACCAGGGAGAGGGTAATGACATGGAGGGGGGTGGGGGGGGCAGGAATAAGTGCCCGAGTAGGAGACAGATCAAAGGGTCAGGTTTGATTCACTTTAATACCATTCATTTAGGGGTTTTCTTCCGGTTATAAAAAAAAAAAAAAAACTAAAACAGGAAATTAGAAGGATGGAAATAAATAGCCCATTGGGCTGGCGCCTAAAAACCACCACTGTGAATAGCGTGAGGCACCTGTTTCTTTTCAGCATTGTTTTCTGTACTTTAAAAAAAAATTTGTTTTTAATGTTTATTTTTGAGAGAGAGAGAGAGACAGAGACAGAGTGTGAGCAGGGGAGGAGCAGAGAGAGAGGGAGACACAGAATCCGAAGCAGGCTCCAGGCTCCGAGCTGTCAGCACAGAGCCTGATGCGGGGCTCAAACTCACAGACCGTGAGATCATGACCTGAGCTGAAGTCGGACGCATTATCAACTGAGCCACCCAGGCGCCCCTGTTTTCTGTACTTTTTCAAAGATGAATGTGTGTTCAGTTTTATGGCTTCTTGTTTTCCACTGCATATTTTAACACGGGTCATTGCCCACACGCCAAGAGCGCGTCAGAAAGATACTTTAAGCTGCTGCTTATTTGCTCCATTTGAAGGGCATGCCAGACGTATTTCATCACCTCTGTATTATTGATCATTTTGACAGTTTACCTTTTCTTTTTGGCTTTTATTGTTAAAGCTGCAACGAATATCACTGTCCATAAAGACGACTTCTAGTTTCTATTTCTAGAAATTCAATTACTAAGTCAAAAGTATGAACTCGTTTTTAGTGATATTTCTTTCACCAGATTATAAAGATCATGTTGGCTTGCTGTAACAGTTTGGTTTTATTTTGATGACTTTTCTTTAGCTGGTATTTACAGAAGCCAGTTTTGAGGTCTACCATAGGACTCTGTTCATGAATACATTGGTCATAGGTTGCTGGAGTGGAAGGAATTTGGGATCTATTAATCCAGCCACTCAATTTTCAGATGGGGCCACAAGGGCTGAGTGAGTCTGAGTGGCTGGCTGTGGGGTTGCTGAGGACATTGGTGGTGCTGTGGTAAAGCTGGGTCTCTTAACCCCTGGACCAAGACACTACTTAGCCTCTATTGACAGGGCATGGAAAGAGAGATGAATCCCCAGAGGGTACATTTGTAGGAGGGAAGGGTCCCCCAGGTAGGGGAGAAACGACTTGGAGGTGAGGGGGTGAAGACAGCCTGGGCAGTGACAGATGATGGGGCTGAGCCCAAGGCACAAAGTGATGCCACAGTGAGAGATGAGTCCAGAAAGGCAAAGAATGACTCTTGCTTCTCCTAGCACTGAATTTTGTTAATTATAGAATAGTTGCTAGTATTTAGAGAGCGATTGAGAGTTTGAAAAGTGACTGACATATATGTTCTTATTTGATCTTCACCCCTATCGTTTACAGAGAGAAAATGGAGAAAATGTTCTAAGTGACTCTTCCAAGATCACTCACAAAGAATGCAGCGAGGTTGGGACTTGAAATTCAAATCTCCCAAATCCTGTTCACCGTGACACTGGTTCTCAATGCAGAGCCAAGGACAGTGGTAAAATTAGTAAGCAATTCACACATCGGCTATAAGATCACTATTTTTGTAGCATAATTTACAGACCTGTACTGTTGCACTTTTCACGTGGTCAATCTTGAAATAGAACGTTCCATTATTCTCTGCATTAAGCTTTGCAGTGGAATGATTCAGAGCCACCTCCAGCTCTGGGCTGTTGACAGGTATCTCTTTGGGACAGCCAGGGCAAATACTGGGAGGCGGTTCTATAAAATCGTCTCCTGAAAAAAATCAGCTTTTAAGTCAGCGTGTCACTGAAGGAGAAGTGTAGCCTACTATCTCCCCTGCACATGACCTGCAGGGTCATTTACAGAGGATCACATGACAGCCCAAGGCCCAGGAGTGAGTGGGTGGAGGTTGTCTGTCTGACCTTCACCTTACTGCCTCTCCTCTTTTCCTCTTCTCAGAGCCAAGTGTGTTTAGGGGAAACATTCAATCAGGAGACACTAGTGGCTCAATTGATATGCTGTACTTTTCCTAAGTTTTTGCATTTGTCATTGAAACTGCAAAAAGTAATGCTTAACTTAAAGGAAAGATTCTCTAGTGGGAAAAATCTAAGTCCTATTTTTCCCGGGAGCAGCTAGCTTCAGTCATGCTTCTCATCAGGAAATGTATACAACTATCTTCCGAGGATGGGAAAAGCTGACTCTTGACATAAGAAATAAGGACTTGACCATAATCTTGCAGTATTTCCCTTTCCCTCCATTATAACATGTAGGGGGGAAAATCTTTAATTGAAAGGCTTATTTTTACTCTGAGTGGTCAAAAATGAGATGCAGCTTTCCCCATTTACAGCACCTGATTTTAGGGACATCTTGTACAAGGAAACTGGCTGGTGTTGTACCCAGAGGCCAGCAATTTCCCCTTTTGCCACGACATTCCCTTCCGGCTACTTCCAGAGCAGTCTCCCCTATGCCTACCGCCATACTGCTGGGCAGAGATGGGCTAAGTTGTTCTCAGTAAACCTGCTGGTCATATAGACTTTGTGCCAAAGACAGACACCAAAGCACGAGTTCTGTGAAAAGACCTAGCTAGTTGTCCGCGACCAACATGCAGCATAGAGCACTAGCACGCATCAGCTCCTACCTGGATAGAGTTCACACTTCTGCGACAAAGAAGCAATTCTTAGCTGCGGATCCACGTGTGCGTGATCTGTACATTCACCGATATCCTGGTTTTTAAAAAGGACATAGGTACATAAAGTTAACACATGTTTAAGAAGCTTTAAATAAACAACTAGTATACTAAAAATAGTATATTGACTTTACAAATCATCACATAGAGAACCAAAAGGAAACACAGTCTGATCGCAAAGGGAGAATAAAAAACAATTAGTTAACAGCATCAACAATGAACAGTAGACACAAACCCACAGAAACATGAAACGAGATGATAGGAATACCTAGTATAGAAATAATAACCATATAAATGAATGGATAAAATTTTCTTTTAGAAAGGCAAAGGTTTTTAGATTAAGTTAAAAACTAAATTAATGTATTGCATCTTCAAGTGTAATTTCTCATCATAAAAAAAGAAAGGTTAAATATAATGAATGAGCAAAGCTGTAGGAGGCAAGTATGACCAAAAAAAGGAGCTAAAATATAATTAATATTGGAAAAAGTAAAATTCAAGGTAACAAAAAAACCTCACAAATGTAGTAAAAAAGATTATTTTATTTTTGTAAAAGATACAGTCTAGAAGCATGGGATCAAGATACATAAAGCAGAAAATGTATAGGAATAGAAATGGATAAAAATCATTGTGGTGGGAAAATTTAATGTACAAGTATAAACCTAAGACAGGCCAAATGGAATAAATAAATAAATAAGGTCACAGAAGACTTGAGTAACATAATAAAGATTTATTTAAATCATAATTTCATATAATACACATGATTTAAAGTGACACTTTCATAAGTATGATGCAAAATTTTTAATCGCTTCCATTCTAGGTCACAAAAACGGCTCAATAAATTTAGCAAATCAAAAACAATACAGGCCATGTTCTTTGGCCTCAGCACCAAAAGGGAAAAAAAAAAAAAAAAAACTCCCTGAAAATTAATGACGTAAATTTAAACAAATAAACAACTTGGAAATATAAGCACATTTGCCTAAATAGGCAGGGTTCCTTGGATAAGGAAAAAAGTGAGAGACGAAAGAAGAAAAATGAGAATTCCACATCATATTGCCAGAGCACCATTTAGAATTAACTTGTGGCTTTATATGCTTTTGTAATTTTTTTTTAATTAAAAAAAAAAATTTTTTTTTTTCAACATGTATTTATTTTTGGGACAGAGTGAGACAGAGCATGAACGGGGGAGGGGCAGAGAGAGAGGTAGACACAGAATCGGAAACAGGCTCCAGGCTCTGAGCCATCAGCCCAGAGCCTGACGCGGGGCTCGAACTCACGGACCGCGAGACCGCGAGATCGTGACCTGGCTGAAGTCGGGTGCTTAACCGACTGCGCCACCCAGGCGCCCCTGCTTTTGTAATTTAAAAAGGGAGATGAGAAACAAACAAAACAACTCCAAATGTAGGTGTTTCTCTCAAGAAATTCAAAAAGGAAACAGAATAATAAATAGGCTCAAGGAAAATAAGAAGGAGAAAACAAGATAAAGCCAGATTATAAACTTTTCAAAACTGATAAGTTAGAAAACAGAAAGCACTAGCATTAAAAAATAAATCCAGGGGCACCTAAGTGGCTCAGTCAGTTAAGCATCCCTCTTGATTTTGGCTCAGGTCATGACCTCATGATTTGTGAGACTGAGCCCGCATAGGGCTCCCTGCTGATAACTAGGAAGCTGCTTAGGATTCTCTCTGTCTGTCTGTCTCTCTCTCTCTCTCTCTCTCTCTCTCTGTCACTCCCCTGCTCACTTGCTTGCTCTCTTTCCCTCTGTCTCTCAAAATAAATAAATAAACATTTTAAAAAAATCCAAAAGATCACTCTTGGGGTAAGGAAAAAAATCAAATGTATATGAAAGGCAACATAGCAAAGTATACAGAGAAGTATAAAAACATAACAGAATATTATAAACAAGTATATGATCATTTAAATCCCAAAGAAATAGATACTTTCCTCAAAAACTATAAATAACCAATATTGACTTAAAAACAAGAAGAAAACTTGAATAGACCAATGACTGGAGAAGGAGAGAATGCTATTCCTAGTCTAAACTTCCATTCTACTTTCCACCTCCAAATAACAGAGATGTTTTATGGATGAATAATTTCAAAAATTAAGGTATATATATTCCCATGTTATATAAACTGTCTCTGAATACAGAAAATAGTGGCAGAGGTGCTTGGCTGGCTCAGTTGGTGGAGCAGATGACTTTTGATCTCAGGGTCATAGGTTCAAGCCCCACAATGGGCATAGAAATTACTAGAATAACATAAATAAACTTAAAAAAGAAAAGAAAAGAAAATAGTGGCAAACTATTTTCATTCTGTAAAACTGTAATCAAGATATTAAAACCTAAAAAAATAGAACACACATACAAACACACACCCAGAAACTGTTAAGCCACTTTCATTTGTAAATATAGATGTAGAATTTCTAAACTAGAAATAGGATCCAAAAGCATATTTAAATAATAATTAACACTAAACACATAGTGAGCTCAGTTTAAGAATCTAAAGATCGCTGTTAGGAAAGCTGTCAAAACAACATAACAGATTAAATTAGAAAAATTTAATATCATATTTTAACATCTATTCTAAAGCTAAATTCAATACCAATTCCTTATTTAAAACCAAACCAAAACAGAACAAAACTCTTTAAAGAACAGGAATGTAAGGATGCTTCCTTAACATGACAACGAATGTCTGCCTGGAACCCACAGCAAAATAATGACAAAATTCTAGAGGCTTTCCAAATAAAATCAGGCCTAAAACATGACAGTGTGTAATCACCATTTTTTCAAAAATTATCTCTGGCTATTTGGGTCAATTCATTGAGACATAGAACAAAAAAATAAGCATCAGAAAGAAGAAAATAAAGGTATTTTTTGCATAACACATTACTGTATGCCTGGATGAAAAGAATCAATGAGAAGCTGTTAGAGCTAATAAGAATTCAGTGAAGTTGCTGGATATAAGAAAAATAAATAAAAATTGATACAGTTGTATATATAATAACTTATTTAAAAGAGAAAAAGTAAAAACATAAGGGTTTAATTCCTAATAGCAATAACCAACAACAAAAAACAAAATGAATCTAGGATTATCATTAGTGAGAAATATTCTAGATATATATACAGACAAAAAAATTACCAAAAATTATCCATATCCCCTACAAAAAAGACAAGAGGGAAATATACTAAGATATCTTTGGATGTTTGGGCATGTGTGATTCAGTGTTATTTTTTTTTTTTTATGTTTCTGCATTTCTTAAAGTTTTCTATATATGTATATTCCAATAAAGGAACATATATATAATGTCATATTTTTTAAAGATACAGCGAACACCACATTCACGATATCTTAATTTTGGATGGGGTGAGGAAGCTGGAAGTAGCCCAAAGGTTCTCAATTCTATCGGCATATTTAGTTTACGTGAGCAGATTTTAGATCATTCTGATTCCAGGGACACACCCAGGCCAATTACATCAGAACGTCTGGGGGAATGGCCTGGGAATAGGCATTTTTTAAAGCTAGCTGAGTGATTCTAATATGCAGCATGGCCTGCGAACTACTTATGAAACCTCTTATGTGGTGCTTTTCAAGCTTTAGTATGCAAACAAATCACCTGAGGATCTTGTTAATATGCAGATTCTGATTTAGAAGGCATGGGGGCGGTTGAGATGCTACTTTTCTAACAGCTTCCCTGGTGATGCTGATGCTGCTGGTCGTTGTAACACACTTTGAACAGCAAGGCCTTAAACTATACCAATGTGGGCAGAACACTTCATTTCTATTTCATGCCCTTGAGCTATACTAACACCTCTGTGAGACAGGTGTTGTTCTTCACTCTTTTAAAAATTTTATTTTAATGTTTGTTTTTGAGAGAGAGAGAAAGTGCAATGAGGGAGGGGCAGAGAGAGAGAGATAGAGAGAAAGAGAGAGACAGAATCTGAATCAGGCTCCAGGCTCGAGCTGTCAGCACAGAACCTGACTTGGGGCTTGAACCCACAAACTGCGAGATTATGACCTGAGCCGAAGTTGGACGCTTAACCAACTGTGTTCTTCACGCTTTTATAAATGAGGAAGTGGAGGCCCAGAGAGGCTGAGCCAAAAATCTGATTGGCTTTGTGGCTCCAACTGGCCTTTGAGTATCTCTCTTGTTGCAAACAGAAAACTAAATTGAGGCCTTACAAATAGATGCAGAAAGATTAAAGCTAGAAAGGATGTAGGCTTATGTAACCTCAAGCCGTTAACTAAATGTAAAAGCAGGAGGTGTTAATGGATGCTTGAACGTCAGACTTGAATCAAACTGGCAAAGTTAAATAGTAGTGAGAACATATCTTTTTAGAAGAGTCCTCTCTCTTTTTACTGTTTTTTTTTTTTATGGTAAAATAGATACAATGTAAAATTAGCTATTTTAACCATTTAAAAATGTACAATTCAGGGGCGCCTGGGGGGCTCAGTCGGTTGAGCGTCCAACTTCGGCCTAGGTCATGATCCCGCGTTTTGTGCGTTCGAGCCTCACGTCGGGCTCTGCGCTGACAGCTTAGAGCCTGGAGCCTGCTTCGGATTCTGTGTCTCCCGCTCTCTCTGCCCCTCCCCTACTCACGCTCCGTGTCTCTCTGTCTCTCAATAATGAATAAACGTTAAAAAAAATTTTTTTAATGTACAATTCAGTGGCATTAATTGCATTCAGTCGTGTGCTGCCATCACCACTGTTTCCAAAAATTTTCATCACCTCAATAAACAATTATTAAACAATAAATCCCCATTCTCCCTCCTCCAGCCTCTGATAAACTCTAATCTACTTTTTGTCTCTATGAATGTGCTTATGCTAGGTATTTCATATAAGTGGAATCATACACTTGTCCTTTTGTGCCTAGCTTATTTCACTTAGCATGATTTCAAGGTTCATCCACGTTGTAGCATGTATCAGATCTTCTTTCCTTTCTATGGCTAAACATTTTCCATTGTCTTATCCATATATGACATTTTGTTTACCCATTCATCTGTTGACGGACCTTTGGGTTATTTCCACCTTTTGGCTATTGGGAATAATGCTACAATGAATATTGACATCCGACTAACTGTTTGAGTCCCCGTTTTCAACTCTTTTGGGGTATACGCCTAGGCGTGCAGCTGCTGGGTCATATGGTAACTCTATGTTTTTCTTTTCGAGGGACTGCTAAACTGTTTTCCACAGTGGCTGCATCATTTTGCATTCCCAGCAGGAATATGCGAAAGTTTTAATTTCTCCACAGCTGCCTCCATACTTGCTATTTTCCAATGATTAAAAATTATAACCATCCTCTGGGTCTGAAGTGGCATCTCACTGTGGCTTGTATTCACATTCTTCTGATGGTGCTTATTGGCCATTTATAGTTTTTTTTTAGAGAAATATCTTTAAAAAAATTTTTTTAATGTTTATTTATATTTGAGAGAGACAGAGACAGAATGCGAGTGGGTTAGGGGCAGAGAGAGAGGGAGACACAGAATCCGAAGCAGGCTCCAGTCTCCGAGCTGTCGGCACAGAGCCCGACGTGGGGCTCGAACCCACGAACTGTGAGATCGTGACCTGAGCTGAAGTCAGACACTCAATCGACTGAGCCACCCAGGCGCCCCGAGTAATACCTTTTTAATCCCTCTGCCTGTTTTTAAATTGGGTTGTCTTTTTGTTGTTACATTGTAGGGGTTTTTAATATAGTCTTCATCCTAACCCCTTATCAGATAAGTGATTTGCAAATTTTTTCTCCCGCTCTGGGAATTTTCCAATTATGAAATTAGTATACGCTTCAACAGAAACATTGAGGAGGACTGAAGAGTTCCAAAAAGTATGAAAATCAGAAAAAAACACCTATATTCCCACCTGAAGGTTAATGATATTTTATATTTTGCCATATTTGTTTCTCATCACTATTGATACTTATGTTTACACGTTTGAATGAATCTGTCTATATAGTTCTTTACCTTATTTTTTTTGCTTAACATATTATAGCCATTTCACTAAGTCACTAAAAACTTGAAACAGAATCTTAATGGCCACACATATTCTACTATATGGATATACTACTATAATTTACTTAACCATTCCCTACTGCTGAAGATATGTTACTTCCAATGTTTTTCTATTAATAATAAGGCTGAAATTAACACCTTGCTGTCTGGCTTCCTCATTTTCTTCCCATAGATTAGAAGCCTAAAAGTCAAGTTACTGGATTTAAGTCATCCATTGCTTAAAGCAGTCTTTGGCTAAAATGCCAATATCCTTGGGGAGGTCTTCATGCCTTAGCTATCTCTTTTTTTAAATATATATATATTTTTAACGTTTATTTTTGAGACAGAGAGAGACAGAGCATGAACGGGGAGGGGCAGAGAGAGAGGGAGACACAGAATCGGAAGCAGACTTAGCTATCTCAACATGTGCTAATGACGATTACCTTGAGATGCTCTCTTTTAACATAATTTTGGTTCAGACCAAAAGATATCATCCCAGAAAGGGTCCGTAAGGGATGGAGACTCGGGATGTGTTTGTTAGAGATCAGAGCAGGGGAGAAAGGGTGAGAAAACAAGCAGAGACAAGTTGAAAATGAGGGACTGCTCTGGGTAGAGCTTGGAGTCAGGACACTGAGCACATGGGGAAGAAAAGAAGATAGGAAAGTGAAGGCGAGAAAAGACAAACTTGATCATGGCATTATTTTGTCTCAGGCTCTTCCTACTGCCCGCTTATATCTGTAAGGGCTATTGCTAGGTGTGCAGATTCTCTGACCGGGTAGGTAAGGCAGCCTGACCAGTGCTGAGAGCTTCGGAATCCCCAAGGGAATGTGAACCGGTGAAGGTCACCTAACATTTTAGTGACTGAGTCTTCCCACACAGCTGAGACTTTCCACGCTTGGAAAGACTGGACACAAAATGCTAAGAACTTTATAATTAGATTTTTGCCTACTTACACCATTCAAAAGGGACTTGCAGTCTGGAGTTAAGAACAGAAAATGTTCCTTGGAGCAATTCGTCTGCACAATTGAGTAAGTAATTTCATAATTCCATCCAGCCACCACCTGCAACAGTTTTGGACTGAATATTTAAAAGGCACTTTAAACATCACTCACAGTGTTATGACGAGTGTAGGATGCTGCCTGGCTCAAAAATATGAACGATGATTATTACTAGGCAGAAGGCATTTCTGAATAAATATTGAGCGCTTTATGACTCTCACTCCCTCCCCACGTGCACGCACGTACATATGCACACGCACGCACCACACTCCTACACATCAAACAACCAAATGCAATCTACACGCGGAGGTACTGTATTTCCTTAAGTAAGACCTAGCAGTATTTCCTCAGCTAGGCGGCAGGAAGAAAGTCTTCCACTGAATTTGTGAAATATGCATAATGCTGTTCTAGATGGATGAAGAAAACTCTGGAACTTGGGTGACTTTGACCAGTAGGTCCTCAGGTTCCCAGACTGCCAGGCAATGAGATCTCTCCTGCTTTATCTGGGCCCAGTTGCACCCTGATAGCTGGCTATGGACATAACTGAGCAAAGCACATGTCTTGCATGAAAGCAAATTGGAAGGTCGATTAAAAGCAGGGAATGTTACCGACCAAAGTGAGTCCTTCGTAATTAGAGGCTGAAACGCAAGGGAGCCAGTCGGCCGTCACTAAAGGCTTAACGAATGGAGGCAACGAAAAGACCAGAGTTACAAGTATTTACTTTTTTTCCTGATGGTACGGAACCTATGATTTAGAGGGTACCCAGAAAGCTGTGCCATCCTTTTAGATGCAATTTAATTTTTGGAGCCAAGTCTGCCTCATGGTAGTGAAGTATTAATAAAGTTTTCTTAAGACCCTAAGGACAGAATGGCTTTTCCATTTCACTGTCTCTACAAAGAACATGTAATACTGACTACCGTGCGGAATGAAAAATTAAAGAACAAACCTGTCTGTGGGCCCTCTTGACTTCTCTAAGAGCAAAGAGGTGGGAACGACCGGTGTGGTTGTTAAAATGTTGAATGGCGTGTCTGAGAACGGGCTCCAGGTCAAGGCTCGCAGTCGATATGGGGTGCACACAGCCAAGGCAGTCATACTGGCTTGTCACCACAGGACCCTCGGCTTGACAAAGAGCAGGCAAAAGGGCAGCATTAATGAGTGAAACCTTCATTCACATACGCTGCCCTAAATGAGATAACTTAGAAGGCCCTGGTAAACTTTCCAGTAAATCGTAGTATACATTAAAGAAAGAGAAGGCGAGGGGCGCCTGGGTGGCTCAGTCGGTTAAGCAACTGGTTTTCGATTTCAGCTCAGGTCATGATCTCACGTTTCATAGGACTGAGCCTTGCGTTGGGCTCTGTGCTGGCAGCACAGGCCCTGTTTGGTATTCTTTCTCTCTGCCCTTCCCCTGCTCTCTCTTCCTCTCTCTCTCTCAAAATAAGTAAATAAAGTTAAAAAGAAAAGTGAGGGGCGCCTGGGTGGCTCAGTCAGTTAAGCATCTGACTTTGGCTCAGGTCATGATCTTACAGTTTGTGGGTTCAAGACCCGGGTCAGGCTCTGTGCTGACAGCTCAGAGACTGGAGCCTGCTTCGGATTCTGGGTCTCCGTCTCTCTCTGTTCCTCCCTCACTCATGCTCTGCCTCTCTCTGTCTCTCAAAAAAAAAAAAATAAGTAAATGCTAAAAAAAAAAAAAAGTGAGAATGCAAGACCGCTTTTTAGCCAGAGAGATAAACCTATATTATTTACTTAGGAACATCTTGCATGCATACTATTGTGCACTTATTTTAAATTTATTTAGAAGTAATTTTAAATCATAGAAGTAACATGAATTTAGTGGCGCCTGGATGGCTCAGTCATTTGAGCATCTGACTCTTAGTTAAGGGCTCAGATAATGATCTCACTTTGTGGGTTTGAGCCCCACATCAGGCTTCTGCTTGTGCAGAGCCTGCTTGGGATTCTCCCTTGCTCTCTGCCCCTCCCCCTCTCCATCTCCATCTCTCTCTCCCTCTCTCTCTCTCTCAAAAATAAATAAATAAACATTTTTTAAAAGAGTGACATGAGGGGCACCTGGGTGGCTCAGTTGGTTAAGCATCCGACTTCAGCTCAGGTCATGATCTCACGGTTTGTGAGTTCGAGCCCCGTGTCGGGCTCTGTGCTGACAGCTCGGAGCCTGGAGCCTGCTTCGGATTCTGTGTCTCCTTCTCTCTCTGCCCCTCCCCAACTTGTGCTCTGTCTCTCCATGTCTCTCAAAAAATACATAAATGTAAAAAAAAGAATAATAAAATAAAAGAGTGACATGAATTTATACTTTTTTTTTAATTTTTTTTTAACGTTTTTATTTATTTTTGAGACAGAGAGAGACAGAGCATGAATGGGGGAGGGGCAGAGAGAGAAGGAGACACAGAATCGGAAGCAGGCTCCAGGCTCTGAGCCATCAGCCCAGAGCCCGACGCGGGGCTCGAACTCACGGACCGCGAGATTGTGACCTGAGCCGAAGTCGGATGCTTAACCGACTGAGCCACCCAGGCGCCCCTATACTCTTATAAAAAGTAAAACATTACAGATACATCTTATTTATTTATTTTTTTAGAATTAATTACAACTCCTTGAAGCCTGGCTCAGGGTATATAATACATTTTGTATCAACTCAATGCTTTGCACCTGTTGCAAGTGCCAGGTGTGGAGCAAGGCACCGTGAGTATGTTGATTCGATAGTAATGGTCACTGCTGTGAAAGAGTTGGGCAAAGTTGAGTGAGAGAGTCAGAACTGCAGATGGGCCATGTCAATATAATTTGGCAACAACTTGGAAAGTCAGGAGCCCAGACTGAGCTCAAGTAAAACTTTCCTGAGGAGAACAGGCCCGAGCCAAGAGGGGCCAAGGTCAACCAGGTAGGGGAGCCTGGGCGGCTCAATCGGTTAAGCGTCCAACTCTCAATTTCAGCTCAGGTCATGATCTCGTGGTTTGTTGGCTCGAGCCCCCACATCAGCCTCCACGCTGACAGTGCAGAGCCTCCTTGGGATTCTCTCTCCCTCTCTCTCTGCCCCTTCCCTGCTTGTGCACATTCTCTCTCAAAATAAATAAATAAACTTAAAAAAAAAAAAAAAAGATCAACCAGGCAACATGAGCAATAAGGCCTGAGAAGGAAGGATAGCTCCCAAGAAAGCAAGTTGAGTCAGGGACAGCAGAGTGGGACATGGTGTATATACATTTTGCCAGGGCTTAAAGCAGGAGGGCAGGGGAGTGGGGCCTATGGAGGTCAGAACAGTCACTGGAGAGTCCTCTGCTACTGGGCCCAAGCCCCATCTTGGAGGCCAAGGGTTACTAACCATATTCCCAGTCCCCTGGGCTCCCTCGTGAGCCTGATGAAAGCCCCGGCCCCTCCGCAGGAAAATGCGCGTACTCACAATGCTCTCCACGTAATTTCAGGGTATTCACAGACCCTCTGAATTTGGTTAAGAATGGTCTGCTGGGAGAATGGGGAACCACTGAGGGGATTGTAATAAATCAATGTAACATGTTAAAAAAGAAGTACGTTTGTATTAAATTACAAAGTAATGTTCCTAACAGGTAGCCCTAACCCTTGGGTCAGTAGAAGCTCCCACCGTAGAAAGGGGAAGAGCCATGGGGCTGTCCTAGGCCCCTTCTCCCAGTGAGCTCTCCCTGCCCAAGCGTGTGCCATCCGAACAGAATCAGGAGGCCGGGTGGGTGGTGTTCTACAGCCCGTCCTCCATTGTTAGCAGGTGGACACAACCGTCCCTGCAACTGTTTCTTGGTCTCTCTGGAAGTGTGTGTGTCCCAATAAAGACTTCCCTGCTGAGTAGTCATGGCGACCCCAGTTATGGTGACAGTGGTGGGCAAGTTAGAAAACTGGAATACAGGGGAAAGGGGAGAGAACTACTGATGGAAGAAGAAAGAACAATGAACAAAAGGCAGAAGGAGATAGAGAAGAGAGGAGGTGGGTCGGCCTCCTCTGGGGCAGCTGTGACTGGGGGTGGGGAGGGGAGACTGATGGGGGGCTGGAGAGAGGTGGAGTCTCCTCTGTGTCCCAGTGATTTTCCACCCTGCCCCAACATTTCTAGAGAGAGGTTTTTAAAATTAAAAGAAAGATTGTGACTTTTGATTCTGAAACACATCTGGTTACAAAGGTTTCAGATGAGGGATGTGGACCTAGAAGTAAATTCTGAATGTTTGGCTAAGCTTTGTCGCTCACTATAAACAATTGCCGTGTACTGGATGATAAAGTTTGCTTACAAGAGAAAGTGTTTTTTGTTTTTTGTTTTTTGAGAGAGTGAGAGGGAGAGCGAGAAAGAGCAGGGGAGGGTGAGAGACAGAGATAGAGAATTTTGAAACAGGTTCTCTGCTCAGTGCAGAGCCCAACAGGGGGCTCGATCTCACGACCCTGGGATCATGACCTGAGTCAAAATCAAGAACTGGCCGCTCAACTGACTGAGCCACCCAGATGCCCCGAGATAAAGTCCTTAAACTGCATAATCAAAACCTACTCCAAACAAACAAACAAAAAAAGATTTTAATTACTTGTATGTTCTTTTCTGCTTTTGGACTGGTTTTCTTTGAAAGCAACTTCTTGTAACAACTGGATATGGAAGAGGAAAGCCAAGAAGGTGAAGAACTCAGAAGGATTCCTGGCCAAGTTTGACCTCAAAGCCCATGTTTTTCTCCCTCTCTCTTTGCCCATAATTGAAGGCAGCCCTTGTGCCTTCTCAGCCCTTCTCAGAGCCTTTGCACACAGAGGATACAATGCTGCAGTCGGGAGGGGAGTCAGGATGTGCTGAGGGGATGACTGGCCTGATCCTGCCCCTGACCTTCGACTCTGCAGCTCCCTGGCCCCGCCCCACCCCCAAGGCTGCCACCACCCACGGGGGGGGGGGGGGGGGGGGGGGGGGGGAGGGGGCTTCTTCTAGGCTGTGCTCCTGGCACCACACTGACAGGGTTCATTTCCTCCTCCCCCCACCCTGCTAGCACCCCCCAGGGAGACCCAGCTACCTGGAGTAATCTGGCAGGTCTGCGTAGCCACGGAGAATTTTGTATTCCCTCTCTTCCCAACGGTTGCGGAGCATTCTCCTGTGGCCTAAAAAGAAAAGAAAAAAAAAGAGAGAGAGAGAGAGAGACCACTTATCTTCATCTTTCAAATGGAGAAGTACACCTAGTACTATGGCTCAATATGACTTTCCCCTTTTTTTTTAAACTTGCCCCCCAAAATTTTCTAACGAGTTTTGAGGCACAAGAAGGAGAGCTTTTGTAGCCTAGCAATTATTTATTTATTTATTTATTTTTACAAGCCACTGAAATCACGAGACGTTGGAGGAGAGGCAGGATAAAGGCAAGGTTTTGAAGTACGTTTCCTTTTCACCAAAATGTATGCAGTGCCTTAGAACCAGCCTAAGCTCTCCTCTTGATTTCCCTTTCAATTTCAGCATTGAAACGATGTGCAGGACGCCAGTGTTGTGACATGAAGGGGTGAATCCTGGGACTGTGGAGAGAACGGCTTGCTTCTGGGCACTGTCCGTACTCCCCCGTCATTAAGGTCAAACGATGAAGCCGTGCTGTGCCAGGCACTTCGGCATTTGGTGAAGATAGCCATGGCTATTAAAGAAGGTTCTTTGCATACTGTATCTCATTTCACGCTCCAACAACCTGATGCAGGCAATGCTAGCTGCCCCTTACGAGGCAGCACACCAGTTCTGAGTGGTCAGCTAGTTGGACGCAGAGGACGATTTACACTCAGGCAGATGCAAGTAAAGCACCCGTGATCTCCCCTCACCAGCCCTCGATCTTGGCCCAAATGTTGATCTGTTGTGTCTTTGGGGACTGGCCCGCTGTCCTAATTGGTCATTAGAGTGCCCTTCTCATGGAGGGCTTTCTCTTTGTTTAACTGCTGGCCTCTCCATGCTCTGATACCGAGAATGGGAACGCAGACACCAAGCATCTGACTTTTGTACACATTGGAGGGTTTACGTGCATTCCTTACAAAGAGGCTTAGCAATACTAACATCTCTAGCTCTAAAAATAGAAAAATCGGACAGTCTTGGTGGAGAAAACTGGGGGCTCGGGAACCATCAACCAACCTACTTACAGCTTGTGCAGATTCTTTGTAGTCACAATCCTGCCATGTTTTGTCACTTTGAACAGAACAGTCTCCCTCCCTGATTTGGTACTTGAAGGAATAAAATGTCTCAGGGTCATCCTGAAAAAAAGCAACCAAAGACACATAGGGTTCATCCAAATGCTCCAGCAAATACTTTGTGTGGGACCCAATGCAGATACGAATATTCGATCTTGATTTAACTCAACAAGAACAAAACATTTATTAAAAACACTGAAAGTTATAAATATTTACTTGGAAGAATGTTCATAATATATTTACAAATATGTATTTGTAAGTTACAAGATTATCCATAGTATTAGCCCATTTTTGTGGAAACCAATTTATAGGTATACATAGGACTTTTAGAAGTCTGGAAAGTTATAAAGCAAAGCTGTTAAAATGCTTGTCTTTCAGTGGTGCAGGTACAGCTGTCTCACTTTGTTTTCTTTTTTTTTTTTTTT